GACAAGCTTGAACTGAATACTTAAAATTTATTAAATGCATGAAGTTCTTGTTTATAAACGGTTAGTATAAATAAAAGTCACAGAAAATGAAAATATGACATGTGATAAGAAAGATTCTCATTAGAATATTGAAGATTATTGCATGAACAAGACAATCAGTACTAAAATTTTCCATATAATTTCGAATGAGATTGAAATACTATATCTAACCAATATTTATTGAATCTGTCACTAGCACATATAATCAATAGAAGTTCTAGAAAAAAAATATTTAATACGTAACCTCACGATGAGTAAATAAAGTCAAGTCAAATAATTGATGTTTTTGATGGAGTTGTATCAATAAAAACTCAAAATTTGTAGATATTAAAAAGTTGCATGTCTGTCAATTCATATTTATAAATAAGATGAAATTTTCAAGATTCATATCTCTGTAAGGCAAGAAAGTAAATTCTGAAAACATGCCTTTTCGTCTTTTTGTATAAATAATGAGAAGGAATCCATCGAAAAATCCCAATTATTGTAGATTATACTATCTCTCTGCTTGACTGAATATAGGCAAATGCATTAATAAGATTCTATCCTTCTTGAGTCTTCTTCCACATAATAACATTGTTTATTATTTCCTATTGTATGTTGCTGGATATGAAAGAGAAAGAAACGACGATAACACATTTCTTTTTTTTTCCTTATGTTAGATCCGTTTTCTCATAAGTCGAAGTTCGCAAGGACATAGCAACCGTAATTGTATACGTCCGGAACGAAGGAGAAAAAACCCCATCATGCCTCTATGACGCACAATATTATACATAATATAAGCAACATCGTCAAGAATAAGATTCACATCCTACATAAATATTTAGTATGTCGATAACTTCAAAAAAAATATCACGATTAGAAAAAGAAGCTATTTTACGTGCAAAAGTATGTTTTTATTTACATTTTATTCTACATATATATACGTTTTTATTTATTTTTTTAACAATAAAAGGATTCTGAATATAAACGTGAACAAGCAGCAAGTTTATTGACGAATTCATGTCAGGATGAAGAAGAATTCGAAAATGATCGTCATCGACGTCATTCAAAAATGAGGCAAACACGTCAAATACAACGTGAAATTGATCGTCAAGTAGGAATGATAGATAAATTAAATGAACGAAGACAACAAGAATTACAAAAAAAACAAATACCAACTACAACAACGACAAGTAAATTTCTTTGTTAAATTTCAGTAGAAATATTTAATATCTTATTGTAGCACGAAGTTATCTTACATCTTTATCATCATCATCATCATCTTCGTCAACAGCATCATCAGTAACTGATCGAGCTAATCGTGGTGGAGGAGCTACAGAGAAATATACAACTACCAAACATACTAGTGGGGGCAAACTCTATTAAACCAATCATTTATTTTATTATCAAGAATAACCTATAAAACTTTATTTCTTTGCTATTTCACATTTATGCTATCAATATATTATCTAAATGAAGTGATCAAAACCTAGTAGTGCTAACATATTATCTTTAATCATTAAATGTATATTCATTTCTCCTAAGTTTAAAAAAGAATATTATTCAATTATCAATATTTAATATTGTTATTTCACAGACATAGAAAGAAAACTTTCAATTACAACATACATTTTCAAATCAACTTTACTACGACTTATCTTAAGAATTAAATATTATTGATTTTAAATTATTTGCCTTTGTTTAGTCATGAATCATCCAATTATTCATGGAAAAAAAACTTTTCATGATGCAGTCATTATGAGATTCATATGAGAATATCGTAAAGGACAATTTCTAAAGACTTTGTTCTGAAAACACGTAGATACTAATGATCTCTAACATACATGGATATAACTATGTCAATATCATTTTTTGCTCAGAATTGATCGAAACTGGTCTTTGAAAAATCTGGAATAATTTTATTAATTTATATTATAACATGCTAAATGTATAATTCTACCAGAGTCAATTCTAACTGATTTCAGTCATTTTCATCCAAGTTCAAGAATTCAAATTGGTATATTCTTACTATCGTAGAAACTATAAAAAACTTCATCTCGAGACTTTAACATACTATTTAATGTCGAGTTAATTATAAGTGAATAAATGCTGTGTGATTGATTTTTAAAAACCTACGGGAACTAAAACGCAAAACAGTCATAATGAATTATCTTTGTAAGTTGTTGTTCGGTAATTTCACACACCATTCAAATTAAGAAAACAGAACAAAGCGCACAAAACAATCGAAGAATTTTGCAATTTTTTTCAGTTTACTTAGAGAAAAACAGTAAGTTGTCGTTTTTGCTAGCATATGATATGTATGCACTATTTATTCAAACAATAGAAGAATACACATGTTCTGTTTTAAATTAAAACCATAATTAGTCAAACAAATAATATTTTGATTCGTTTACATGAAACGTTGTCCAACAGTTAAACATGAAATACTATCATTCTGCCATTATTGATCATGTTTGCAATATCAGGTTTAATCTATTCTCTTGTAATATTTTGTTGTTTCATTGACCTTCGTAAAATATTAATTTTTATTCTTCGATTTATCGAAATATTTTCTGTGTATTAGCTTGCAATATATTAATCATTAGATGAAACCTATTTATATAATTATTAACAACACTTATATGCAATTTCTACAATAGATTTATTGATGAAACACTACTCACTAAAGCCCATATATTACAAGTAAATCAAATCATCTATTAGTAAATATAAATTTTGATAAATTCAATCGTCTTAATGATACATTCTAAAAGCACGAAATTGATACTAGAAAAATATAAAAATAATGAAGATCTTACAAATAAAAGAGAATACACATATGACAAACGTTGGGAAACGAAAGATTAATAATAATAATTAGTAGACAAATATTGAACGTGAGACAGACGAAATATTCAACATAAAAGAACCATATTTATAAAACAACATATATATCTATGTAACGAGTTATCATTATTGAGAAATTAGTTTGATTTAATCAAGAATAAACTATTAAGATAAAAAATTCGAGAAGCATCCATATAAAATAGACAACTATATTATTTATATTATTAATATTTCATTCAATAGGATTTAACAAACTATTAATATTTATTTTAGCGTGTATTCGGTAAAGAAAAGAATATTAATTCAACATCGTCGGTACATAGATTGTTTTAGTATAAAGAATTTAACATAATAAACATAATTGGAAATAAATAAATTTATCAAATGAAACCTTATTATCAAAAAATAATTCAATTTATTTTAGCATTTCATATTCACTTGAGTTATATTGTGAAATAATATTGTTGATCATTTTTTTAATATAATCAATTCAAAAATATGTTTACATATCAATTAAATATGGAGACGATAAGTTCAAGAAGAATGACGCTAAATAACATCAAAATAAGCATTGAGACCAACGAAGAAATAAAACAATTGACTTATGAATAAAAATTCAAACAGATCTATCAAGATTTTATTAGATAATAAATCAATAATTTTTTTTCAAATACGTATGTAAATAGTTATTTCATATTTCAGGTAAGATTTCAACATTTATTGAAAGATAAAAAATAAAATAAGACTATGAAATCCATATTTCTATTCTTTGCTTGAGATTGTAAATCAATTGATGAATTTCATTAGAAGTATAATGAAAGAACAAAAAACATTGAACACTCAGAATTAGCTAAGTTAATGTTTTGTTTTATGTGAACTTTGATTGATGATTCAGATTTAGATTTTTAATTCAGAAAGAAAAAGTGTATTATTTTGTACGAAAAATTGAATATTAATTACAATAAAAGTGTTTCAAATACATTTCGTTCTATTTCGTTTGTTAGATTCCTGTAAGTTTTAAACTAAATCTAAATGAATATGGGGAAAAAAAAGATATGAACTATGATGGATCTATTCACACAATATATATTTTATCAAATGCATCAGTAATACATAAAAACAGATATTCAATTATATTTTTTTTTATTTTCTCACTTGCTATAGACTGACTTTTATTCACATCTATTTTTTTGTAATATGGGTAAATCTATGGGGAAAATACCACCTTTCTGGAAGAGTTCTTTTTTTCATCGTTTTTGTTTTTGTTTTTCTAATAGCACCGATCGAGAAAACGTGTGCTAGCTCGAAAAAATTCCATGGTCTCTATAGAACTTAGGAGATTTCCTTTCGACAGTCGGTACATGTAAAATTGACATCCTCTCGAGAAAAACTTCGACTAGTTCTTGTTTGAATCATCTTAAAATCATGGATATTGTTATTTTACTTGGAAGAGTGTTGAGAAAACATTAATATTCATATACACGAGCTTGTTCTGTCATACGCATTGTACTATAGGATGTATAAAAATTCCGGCTCTTTATATCATTGAAAAACATAAGAACTATTATAAACAACTAACCACCAATTGTGATAGAATACCATTTATATACCGTTATTACTTTCAGACTATCCTTCTTGTGGCTATACTTTTTAGAACAAAATAAAAATTGTCAAGTATACCTATATTTGGTGACCATAAGGAACTGGTTTATCAGTATAATTAATATGATGGCACGAGAAATAAAATATTCCGTTGTGACTAGATCAATTGTGTAACTGCATTACATCTTAATTTTTAGCTTAAGCACACATGGTAGAAACAAGGCGCAGGAGTTGTTTTGACAAAAAAAACACATCACGACTATGAAGGAATAGATAACAGTAAGAGCATTCTAATCATCTAACGATATCTATCCCTATGGAGGAATTGTTCATCATGTGTATTGTACTGAAACCAATAGGATTGAGATGAATCGTCAAAATGAAGCTAATGTGAAGACTTCTTGTCGATCAGTTTTCATAAGAGAAACACAATAATGCCTAGAAAGAAGATTTGCGAACATCCAACACATCATCTTGTCTATATCAGTCTACCAAAAGTTCAAAGATCAGTCTGTTCACGACTTAATAAGTTCATGCGTGGTCGATATGACCTCGGTGATGACAATGTGACTGGACTCTGTGCAAAATGCCACGCATTCGAACACCAGCGAATGATAGAGAATGAAGCAATGGATATCGACGTGCAAACGAATTCCAATGATGATATTTCGAATTGTGATGAAGAAGAAGAGAATGAAACAGAACAGGAAGAGAGTGATAATGATGATGACAATGATGAAGATGGCGATGATGATAGTGATGAAAAAGAAAGTGATGATGATTCATTTCATGAATTGACCTATCAGCAGCAAAAAGCGATGGAAACATTATCCAGTATTTTTCGAATGCTGAACGTAGGTCCAATCCATGATCGGTAAGTTTACGGATTTATTCTGACTTTCTATGAATGTTCTTCTTTCGAAGATCCAATGTTGCTCCAATACGTCGTCAAATCGATCAAGTGTACACACATCTTCATCAACTCTGCGACGTTTTTGAAGGAAAAATCAACTGTTCTTCACAAGCAAATCCTCACGGAGTGCGTATCGAAGAATCCAATGAACTGATCGCAGGTCTGAAACGATTATTTAATGAGAGCAATGCTGCTGAACAAGTTCGATTAATGACCATCGCTCCAAAATCATTGGGTCGTCAGAAAATCGAAAGATGGTGCGTATGATTTTCGATGTCTCATTTATGTTTTTGGTTGTACAACTAATGTTTGGGCTGCTCTCTCTTAGGTTCCATTCAACAGAACATCATGCACGTCATGCGGTTCAGCTTCGTGAGAATAACTTTATCCTTGCTTTTCCTCAATATCTCCGTGGCAATCCAGCGATTTCTGAAGAAGTAGTCAAGACTGTCGTCACATTCTATCAAGAAGATGGTATCAGCCGCATGTCGGCAAATTCGAAGGATCAGATTAAAATCAATGAGAAAGCAGTGCCTGTTCGGTTCATGGAAATGACTATTCTCGAAGCTTTCCGAGAATTTGACAAACGCAATCCTGGTCTTGTTGGACGCTCAACCTTTTATTCTCTCCAACGTCGCAATGTCAAGATTGCTTCGCCCCACGAAACATGTGTGCGCATATACCATGAAAATATGCATTTATTACTAAAAGTGCGTGAAATTTTCACACCTTGATTATAAGATATTCTGAATTTTCTAATAGGCATGGAACGAAAGTTACCGACGGCAATGGAAGAAGAACTTTACGTCAACAGCCGAGACATTCATGATTAATAATCTAATCGATCAGATGGTATGTTCCGCGCAAACAGAAGATTGTTATTTCGGTGAATGTGGTGACTGTCCAACGACGGACATTACCAACATTCTCACTGAAGGCATAGAATCCGATCTTGATCAAGAATGCTCACGGACCATCTGGAAAAGGTTGAACAACAAAGTCGATCTTCAGAAAGTAGCTGGTTCTCGCAACTCTCTTTTGGATGAAATAGAAGAGCAATGGTCGTATTTTCTCCTGCATTCTTACTGCAATCGGCAACAATGAGAATATATTGCTCACTTAAGAGAACAATCCACTGAGAGGATCTTTATCGTGGCACAGATCGATTTCTCCATGAATTATAATCTAATCCGTCAACGTGAAGTGCAACAAGGTTTTTTTTCTCAGCATCAAGCTATTCTCTCTACTATTCATCTAACTATTGGGCCAGAATATCGAGATATAGCCATTGTTAGTGATTCAATGAACCATACTACGGCATTTGTTTATTGCGCGCAAGGTATGATCGTCAACTTTGTCAAACAGCATTATCCGCTGGTCAAGAAAATCAATTATTTAAGGTAAGCATCGTGTGTCAAACTGTTTCCTATCTCTCTCACTAAGCATGAGTTTCTCACATTTCTTTCATGGGAAAAAATTCAACAAATACTTTATGTTGTGATATAGCAGAATTTGTTAATAATATAACTCAAAATGCCTCACTTTTATACTTCAGTGACGGAGCAAGTGCCCATTTCAAGAACAATCTGAGCATGATTAACTTAGCGCATCACAAAATCGACTTTGGTCTTGATACTGCGTGGACATTCTTAGCGACAGGCCACGGCAAGGTTGCTAGAGATGGGTTGGGAGAATTTTTGAAGTCAACAGCAAGACGTGCAACTTTGTTCAAAAATGTTCATCTTTCTTCACCAAAAGACTTTTATAACTTCCTTGTGCGAGATCAAATTGAAACAGCTAAAGCTGCTCGAAAGACGAATCCAATGGTGTGAGTTTTGTTTTTGCAGTCTACCGAAGTCGAAAAAATTAAACACGTCGTTATGAAATCAAGAGTAGAAAAGCTCAAGTCCACAGGTAAAGTTTCACTACTCTGTCTGTTCGATTTCCTGCGATAATTGATCATTTAGGAACAATCAAAGGCATTCGTGATATGCACGAATTTCAAGCCTCATCGAATGGAACAATTACTTATCGACGAACCTCAACGTCGCGTGACTCCATTGAATTCTCCTTCAGATGAGAGAGAAGATTAAATAAACTTTTCCTTATGAAAAAACAGTCCTTTATTAGAATCCACTGTAGATACCTACTATAAGGGTGCAATTTTGGTTCTTCAGGAAGACCTAGGTGACAGTGAACGATCTCATTCTATTCATATCTAACTGAAAAAGCCCAATAGAAAAAATTCTAGTGTGATTCAAACAAGAACTAGTCGAAGTTTTTCTCGAGAGGATGTCAATTTTACATGTACCGACTGTCGAAAGGAAATCTCCTAAGTTCTATAGAGACCATGAAATTTTTTCGAGCTAGCACACGTTTTCTCGATCGGTGTTATTAGAAAAACAAAAAAAAAACGACGAAAAAAGAACTTTTCCAGAAAGGTAGTATTTTTCCCATGGATTCACCCTATTATCGTTATTGAATATGGATTCATTATTAATATTCATATTTGTTGATTAAACATTAGTAGATCACAGTCCTATAGTTGGCTTGTCTCATTCAATGTACAGTACTTTATTTTACACATACTATTGTTAATAAGAAAAACAAGAGAGAAGAAAATTGAATCTTTTTTTCTTTTTTATCATAATTGATTATTTTCTTTCTTTATCGCACATTATCATATACGTGTAAGTATAGATCTACCATTAATCTGTTCTCATCGAAATGGAAAAGTTGACAATGTTAATTATTATTGTGTTTTTAAATGTTCTGTCAAGAATAGAATTAACTAGTCAGATATCAATGCAAAGTATAAATGATCATCCATTTATGACATTTTCTCCTACTATAGTCCATCATTATCGGCGAGGATCTAGTAAATTGAATTATAAAGTGTTTATTAATTGAATATAACAATGGTATTTTCTTATTGATTTTTAGTTCCTACAATCATTACTGATGATCATATAAGTGGTATATTAGAAATACTTGGTAACTATATCTTGCTATCTTTTCAAGACTATTAATTCTCTGTTGCTCTTTGTCTAGGTTCATCAAAAGAATCGACAAATCAAACATTTTTCTGTTTTTCTATTGCAAACAAAACGTGTATCTATTAATTCGGATGTTGTTGCACTTGATGGTTCACTCTTTCGTAACTGATTAATAACTATTGGTAGTAGTATGGCACGATTTGATCTTCTATCAAATATGACATCGAATGCTGTTGAACATCGAACTATTTATGTACTAATATATGTACAGGCTGTTCCAAAAATCTCTTTCAAGAATTTTTTCGTTTCATGTCACTATTGACTGAACTTCATCCAAGAATTCTTTTTTGGATAATAGATAGATACACAAAGTTTTGATTTCTACGGATAAGTTTCAAAAGCATTGTTGAAAGTTAAGACCTTCAGCCGGAATACAAATATTTACCCTGTTGTCTCTTTCCACAAATACTCATGGATGATGTATGTTTTAATTGCTTGTATTTTGATTTGCCACTATTCACATTGTTATTGTAAAGACGTATCGAGATAAAATTCCGTGAAACGATCCTCAAACTATTAGCCAATTTAACAATTGGAATGACTCAATAACTCGAAGTAATCAAAAAACAAAATGCTATATAATGCTTGTCTGAAAAATGGAAAAGATGGTAAACTTTTGCATTTCAGCGAAAGATCTTATCTTTCAACAAAGTTTTTGAAATTGGCTCGTAAAAAACAAAACTCTGCGTATATATCTATTATCCAAAAAAACTTGTTGGAGGAAGTTCATTCAATAGTAACATAACACGAAAAAACATTTTAAAGGAACTTCTGGAACACCCTGTAGGATAATTGATATTTAATGGAAAAATTAAATTATCTAAGTAAATTCATGTAGTTCATATAAGAATAAAATGAAATTGAAAAACAAAAATCAATAAAATATGTCGTACTATTGTCCATTTCAGAGATAGATGGGCGTGGGAATTTTTTGAATAATTGTTGATAAGAACGAGATAGAGACCTGCGGTTTTCACCGTTGGAAAGAGCAGATGAAAATGCATCGAACCATATAAGACAATGCCTTTTACCTTGGACTTTTGAAACCTTTTGAAATAGTTGAACAAAGAAATACCTTAAAAAAAGATCTTATTTTTCCAAAAAAAACTGAAAGAACTGAAAAAAACTTAGTTTTTTTTTATAGAAATTGCTGGCAAAGTGGACTGGAATTGTCGAATATAGTGCTTAGAAATCCCAAACCAGTAAAGCTTTGAACCAAGCCTTATATATAGTTTTGTAGCTCTTGAGCTGGCGATTCTAGCACACTCTTCAAAGTTTAAGATTTGCTCTACCTTCATAAAGCAATAGTCTACTCTTTCAAGATGACAATGAATCACTACCTATTTTTGAGACAAACCTTAACAATTTTATATGAATCGATGCACTGAATCAGCCTCTTTGTAAAGGTGAAAACCGCAGCTTTCTATCTTGTTCCTATCAAAATTTAATCGAAAAATGCCCACGGCCATCTATCTCTGAAATGGACAATAATTGTTCTCTTGACGAAGAAAAAAAATACGTAAAAGTTCAATTATGAAGTTTTCCGAAACTTTTGGAATACACTTATTATTACGATGATCTTATTTTAATGTATAAATTTGAATGCTTCATATATTATTAATATGATCATGAAGAATTTTATTTATTGAAATGATAAAGATTCTTAACGACAAATCTGATATAAAGTTTTTAACTTGATAAATATATAGAACTTGTTCTATCGTTTCTATTCTCTATTCTTTTCTTTGATCATATAAAAATTGAAATTTATTATTTTCTTAATCATAAGAAGAAAATTTCTTTTAAAATTCACACTTTTACTATTGTACATCAGGATGATGATATTTTATTCGATAAAAATAATGAACATTCATATCAAAGTAAATGGTATATGTAGTTTCATCTCGTAAAATAATATGAATAAAAATTCGAATATTACTAATGATTTCACTTATGAAAATTATCAAATATTGATTCAACAATAAACATGGATTGATTAAGAACAATTAAAGAATTTGAAATCTTAGTCATATATGATATTTTCATGTAGATTTTCACACATGTCGTGTTATTCTTGTTCGTCCTATTGAGGAAGTAATTCATCAAACGAATATAATTATACTTCCTATTAACGTAACTAACACCTAAATTAATATGAATATAATTAAAGTAATAAAACTCGCTTTTATTCAATACGAAAAAATATTCTGATTGTTATTGAAATTGTACGTTTAACTATTGAAAATTTTTCAGATAATTGTACAATATTCAATCAATACAGTAGAAATCATATGATATATTTTGTGTTAATCCATTTTCAGATTCAATAACTATTATTAATTATTTAGTACAAAATCTCAAAGTTAAACATATTTATTGATAATCATTTATCGTTATGAGCATAATATAAATATACCTGATAACAAAGAAAAAATGCCATGCGGAATTTTGAATTAATTGGTACTAATGATGAAGAAGACAGAAATGAACTCTGATGTAAAAATTCTTCAAGATAAAATGGTAGGACGATTTTATATAAGAACATTTCCAAGTATTAATTTATTTTTGAGTCGGAACTTAGTACATCTGATATCCCTTAATGAACTATCAAACAGTTCGTGTCAGAGCTGAGCAATTATGGATTTTTCGAGTACGACCACGAGTACTGCGAAAATCGTTCTTTAGAACAAGAAATTTTGATACATTAAGAACATATGCAAATATTCAGCAACATAATCGTTGAAAAGAATTGGGTGTAATTTTACATTAAATAAAGCGAATAAGAAAGTCAGCTATTCTGTTCATCTTCGAAATTCAGAAGAAGAAGAAGAATACTCTGCTCTTCAGCTATCTTTGGTTACAGGATGTCCGGAGGTGAAAGTACCATACGCCTGATATATATTTCCTACAGAGACTTACTAATAATTGCAGCTCTCGACAGAAGGCTGGCTTGACTTGGATTTCTTCCAATCATTCACTTGAATGTTTTGTAGAGACTGCCTAGCTAGATGCTAACCCCAGTGATTGGCGTATGTCTCAAAGTAGTTATTATAGTGTCGTGCACTTGATTCAAGACAAGAAGCATAGAGATAGACAGCTGGTACTTATCTGATATAATACTGTTTATCTGAAAATACGAAAGCGGATGAGAGCGTTTCCAGTTCTCTCAATCTTTCATCTTTTGTGTTGAAAGCAATAAAACGGTGGCAATCGATAATATCGTAGATATTTATTACAAAACATCTCGTGATGAGTTTTTCGAGTAGGGAATTGCAAAATGATTTCGGTCCCAGTTCAGACGAGATCTAAAGCTTTTTAAGCTGCTTTCGACGTATTTTTTTATGAAGAACTAGACTATAGATTTTTATGCTTCTTATTTGATGAAGGCTAAGAATGTGTAGATTTGCCAAATTTATTTATCATTCCAATATAAGTCTTTCATTGATCTCGATTCTGATTTCAATACTTGACATTTTTCGGTGATATGTCTAGATTTTTAAATAGGTGTACTCGTACGATATACACATATTTGGGTTGATAGAAATTCAACCGTTCTTTTGATTATACATTTTTTGTCGTTCTTTTACTGTTTCTAGTATAAATTCTTTAATGTTGTTGGGATACTCTCTCTATATCTTAGAATGAAACTTTATCAGTTTTTAGGAATACGAGCAAAAATATACAAGTTTAGGTTTAATTTTACTAGAACTTGTTTTTTCTCAAAAAAAAATTATCGGGATCAGCAACAATAGAAAACTTTAACCATACCTAAGACCGAAACTAATAAAAAAGTTTTGACCAAGTGTAGGACCAAGATCTTGACAAGAAGCAAAACTTATTGGGCTTCTAACTTTTTTACAGATGTATGCATCTAAGTCTCTTCTATATGTGTTTGTATTGGTCACTTATACAAAAATTAAGAAACTTGAAAAAAGTATCTTTTATTCAGGGCGCTGAGTCTGAAAGGGTTAAATTTAAATCCACGAACTAATAAACAGTTTCCATTATAGCAGTTTTTCTGTATAAATTTGTTCACAACTTCACTAATTCAAATTTAATCGATCAATTGATGATTTTATTAGTTGAAATGCAACTGTTTTCTCTCAGTTCAATAATACGAATCTGAATTCGACATTGATCTATAGACTACTTTCAGTTTCTAGTATAAATCTTCCCTAGAGTTCAATATTCGACGCGTCCAAACTCACATCCAAGATTTACTCAGATCAACCCGAGATGGGACGTAATTTCAAGCTGGACGCTAACATATATATATATATATATATATATATATATATATCAGTTGTCCCAAAATATTTGCACGCTTTTTATTTCGCTTATATTTCAGAACAGACCAATGATATAACCTTGAGTTTTTGTTTTCAAAGATGTCTCTTTGAATTTTTTACAAAACCTGACAAAAAAGATCTTATGGACTTGTTCGGATAGTTTTTTAGAAGGCTAAAAGTGAATATCGACGTGATACTGCTGTTTCTCACAATACAGAGTCGCCCAAAAGTCATTAGACCGAAGAAAAAAAAACTATATCTTCGCCATATGCTGACCAAATGATTTGAGTTTTTTTTTTTATTACTGATAAAGGGGTGTTTATAGGTCATATTCATAAAAAAAACATTGACAAATACTGCTTTGAAGTATCATCGTTGACTTCTTTGTGACCTACTCGTGGCAAGCGACTAGTTTTTGAAAAAGCCAGTATCTCATGAAAGGAGCATTCCTTTTGGTTGAAACTTTCAGGATATTCTACGGACCATTGGATCTATATATGGACAAAATTTCAGGTCGAAATTCTGTAGTTTAATTTTTTCGGTAAATACATAGGCATGAGTCGAAATTTCAGTGAAACAGTTATAACTTTTGAAGGAAGAGTCATGAGGAGAAATTCCTTTAGGCTATTTACTATCTCAATATATTCGATCGAATGAGATATAAATGAATCAAAACGAAAAATCTCACCTCGAAAGGCTCTCTCATATGATTATAATTATGATTATGATTTTTAGATCTTTTAGTTTCAATTATTAATAACAATATAACAAATACTTTCTACTTTCATCATTGTTATGGTACGTATGCTAGATATGCTATAAGAAAAAATGTTTTATGCATTATTCATATATGTTCATTCTTTCTTTCGTTTCATACATATATCGTTAACTATGCATGTCGTTTCTTTCGTCCTGTTAGTGTTTTCCCTACTGTTGTTCTTCTGCTTTCTTTCTGTATTTTCGTTCTTTCTTTGATCTAGCCATTATTGTTCGTTTTATTCAATGTCTATTATTATTCTTTTTTTTCTCTTCTCGTGAAAGTCAAGAAAACGTTTTGCTCGGCCTTGAACTGAAATTTATTGCGCAGTAAATAATGTGTGACTACATTATATATATGTTGGTGTAGTTCTATGAAGAGAGAGATTGTTGTTACTGAATCGACGAAAAATATAAATGATAAAAAAGCTTAAGCAATATTTTGATAAATACGATATAGACTTCAACGTTAATATCGGACATAACAGTCATCTAATAACAAAATATATACTTTTTCAATCTATTGGATGTTAATTTCTCAATTGTATTTTGCTTTCGTTCTATTCGAAACCTTCTATAATGAAGAAAAGAATAAGAAATAGACTAACAATTTTGTGATAATATGATATCTCTGTTCGATCGAGGGCTAGACAACATGCATACATACAAATAGAATAAAAGGTCGTTTTCGTGGAGCGCCAATACGTGAAGAAGCTGAAAGACATATTGTTGATCCAACAAGTGTTAATTTTCGTGAACCAGGAACAGAAAAACAAGGAATATCAGAAGAACTTATTGTATTAATTGCAAATTATGTTCGCATTTTATCTGCACCACAATGGTTACTTTATCAATATCATGTTAAATTTTCACCAGATAATACTGATTCGAGAAAAAGACGTCGAGAATTAATTGGTTAGTGTGTTTTTTTAAACTATTTTTTTAAATATTTATTTCGTTTTATTTGTAGCCCAACACGAAGGTGTTTTACAAGATGTTGTATTTGATGGACAAATTTTATATTCATTTAATGATCTTAGTGATGTGAGTATTGATTTATTAAATAAACAAGAAAATTATGATTGTCTTTATTTTTAGGATTATGAAACAACATCACATCATGAAGTTACTGGTCAACGTATAACTATTCAATTACATAAAGTAGTTGTACAACGTCCTGAATCACCAATTTTTTTTCATTTATCAAATTTAATTATGAGAAAGTAAATTGAAAAATTAAACTTTTTGAAATTTCTTTAATTTTTTTTAAAGATTATTAGAATTAGCTGGTATGAGAATAATTGGTCGATCGTATTATCAATTTGATGAATTGATATTGATCGATTTAGTTTAACTTTATTTCATTATTTTGAAACAGTTATTAATGTCTATGAAGATGTTTTAATAATGAATCAAGATTTATCACATAAAATGATTAACAAACAAATATTGAATCAACTCCTCGATATCAAGCATTGATCGATATGGTTAATACAATTAATACGTATGATAAAAAAAAAAAATTTGATAAAAAAAAATCAATTTTATTTTGTTAGATGATCTCGTTGTCGTCAATATATATCGAAATGGAATTTAAGATTAGACGATAATTTAGTTGAACTTGAAGATCGTACACTTGAAGCTGAAACAATTAATTATAATGATAGTTCAGTTAGATATGGACAATAAGAGACTGATTGAAATCGTAATAGTAAAGATAAATACAAATATCTATGGTTGTTTTATTGACAAAAATAGTTTTTTAAGACGTCAATCTCGAAAGACAATTAACCATCTCATCAATCGAACACAATAATAAAAAATTTCGAAATTATTCTTTTTCACTCTACGGATATAACAGTGTCAGTACCGACTCTAATTCCCATTGAATACAATTAATTGACAGAAAAGTTCGAATTATCATTGAAAATTATGGAGTATCTGCATTTTTACTATTTTTCTTTTTAAATCAAAGCAGGACTCATTTCACGTTAATAATTAAAACTACAAGCACAAAAAAGGTAAATACTTGTCTTTATTTAGGTCGTAATTGTCGTCATATAAAACCAGGTCATTTGGATAAATGGCTTATAGTTTATGAAGAAAACAAAAAGCGATTGTTAATGAACTTATTAATACACTTTATAATGTGTGCACACTAATGGTAAAATCTTTTTTTCTCTCCGAAAAATTAAAATTAATTTATTGATCTTAGGATATGCGAGTAGAATAGTACTGAAATGTAAGTTTTGGAATATTTAAATACGAATTTTTTTTAAATATTATCTAGGTAGAGATGAATCACAAAATGATCGACTAGAAACATATTTAAAAGCATTAGAACAAAATTGTCTTAATCAACAATATAATCTTATTCTTTGTGTATTAAATAATAATCGAAAAGATTGTTATGATGCATTGAAAAAAATTTTATGTATGAATACAGTTATTCTATCTCAATTAATAATTAAATGATAAGAAAGCTGAAAATTTTTTCTTTTGGTTTAGATGATACATTTAAAAACTTTAAATATACGTTGTCAATTAATGTCAGTAGCAACAAAAATTTGTTCAAATATCAGCTAAACTTGTTGAAGAAATTTGTTCAGTTACAATTCTGGTAAAATAAAAAAATCATTTTCTTAAATTCTTTCATCATTTTTCTTTAAGTTAAGAAGTTTAATGATTATTAGTATTGATTCATATCGTGATATAAATATAAATATAAAACATAAACAAGTATCAGTAGCAGCATTTGTTGCAACAACAACACAAGAATTAGTTAATGGTACAAGTGTTTGTCATTTGAGGTAAATAAAATAAAATTTGAATTAGTTTTTATAGAATTTTTTCATATTTGGATGCATTAAAAGCATTTTTTATGCAAAATAATGCAATGCTTGAACGTATTGTTATCTATCGTCATGGTGTTGCTGATGGACAACTTCAAGCTGTTTCTGAACATGAATCACCACAAATTGAAGAAACATTTAGTAAAGTACAATAAGGTTATACGTAAGTATGAATTAATGAATTTAATTTTAAGTTATTTGTTGATTTAGTAGACCTAAATGGGAAGTGATTATTGTTAAAAACAAAAAAGAAGTCGATTGTTCAAGATTTTTTGCTAAGAATACTCATCAATTATATAATCCACCACCAGGAACAATTATTGATCATACAATAACACATCAAAATTGGTTTCATTTTTATCTTATTTCACAATGTGCAAAACAAGGTACAGTAGCACTAACACATTTTTATGTTATTTGGAGTAAAGAATAAAAAATATTCTTTTTTCTTTTATATAAATTTGAAATTTTAGATCGAACAACATTTAAAGTTGATCATATTCAACGACTCACATTTAAGTTATAAGTAGAAAAAATATTCTTTTTTATATGAAAAAAATTTTTTTTTTGTTTTATTTAGATGCCACCTTTATTATTATCGGCCAGTAAGTGATTTTGATATATAATTTGAAAATATATGAATCGTTTTTTAGGGTACAATTCGAGTACCAATGATTTGTCAATATGCTCATAAACTTGCTTATCATGTTAGTCAATTTCTTCATCAAGATTTTCATCATGATCTTTCAAATAAACCTTTCTATTTATAGATTTAATAGATCTTGGATTTGTTTTTCTTTTGTCTTTATTCATTAAAACTATTCGATTATTTTATTAAACAGATTACCATCCTTTCTTTTTTGTTTTTTTTTTTTTGAAAACGACTATATTATCTGTTCTTTTCTTTCTTATTTCATCATTTTGTGTATTGCGATATGTATCTTGTTCAGTAATTTATTTTGTGCGTTATGTGCATTCATACATCTTAAGATTTTCTCATTCATTTCTTTATGGTCTATTTCTTATTGTTTTAGATGTCTGGTTGTAAGGGTGGCGGTGACGGTCATAATAAGAAGTATGATCCACTAAAGAAGCTACAAGAAATGGTTGACAAGTTACCACCAGTTGATGAAACATCAACTGATCAATCAAATCATCACAAACAACAACGGCAGCAAATAAATCGAAAAAAAAAACTACGTCGTTTACATTATACAGTTTTGTCTGTTTCGCACGATTTTTTCTCTTTCGTATACATTTCTTTCGCTTGAAAAAAAAAAGGTCATAATGAGTCAATCTGACGTTCACTGGTATTGACGAAAAATTCTTTTTCTTTCTGCAGATCATTTGACGATCTTTTACATATATATATATATATAGAAAATAATTGCTTCTTTTTCTTTAATTAGTATTTTGACTGTATTTCACCTTATTTATTACAAGTTCTTTTAAGACTCCTATTTATACCGTTGAAGATGTTGATGATAATGTGATACTTACTGGTAATCAAGGTGGTGGTACAGGTGCAGGTGCTTTTACTCAAGGTGGTCCAATAGGTGCAGCTGGTGTTAATTTAGGTGGTCTAATAGGTGCAGCTGGTGTTAATCTAGGTGGTCATAAGGGTGCAACTGGTTCTCAGCAAGCTGGTCTTATACATATAATGCAATCGCATGATATTCGCGGTTTATTTGCATTAATAGCTGAAGGTGTCATGAATTTTGTTTTTTGGTTTTTTTTGCATTTGGCTGCGCTGGTATTAAAAATAACCTACTGGTTGTTTAAAATTTTTTTTTTTATAAATAAACGATTGGAGGTGGTTGATATTTTGCATTCGATCACATTTTATTATTTTTCTTTTTCTTTTCTTGCTTGTCATCATGTTATGGGAAAGTAATAAGATAAAGCTTGGCCGAAAAGAATATACGTCCTAAATTATTTAAATTTCTTGCCAAATCAGGATGTGTTGATGATAAAGCTTTTCGTCGAATAGTAGAAGCTTTTTACTGATATTTAAGTGTCATATGCTGGTAATTTAGTATTTGAAAAGAAAAATTTGAAGATACTGTGATGATGAAGGAAATTTTGCTAAACTAAAATAGATTAGCATTATAAATTTTCAACGTTAGTTAAGAAAAAAGTATATATCCAAAGAATTTTTTTTATTTAAAATTAATTGATTTTTTTACAGTTATTTCTTTACTTTATAACTATAATTATATTTTATAATTTCTATTTCATTTTATAGTCGATTCGATATTTTCTTTTACAATTAATATTCTATTTTATAATAATTTTTTACTATAAAATCAACATTTTATTTTATAAATATTTTTTTATTTTAGAACTGGTATTTTATTTTAAAACTATTTTTTTTATTTTTCAATTCATGTTTTATTTTAGAATTGATATTTTATATTACAAGTGATATTTTGTTTTATAACTATTTTTTTTGTTATTTTATAATTGATAATTTATGTTATTATTATATGTTCATTTTATAAGTATTTTTTATTTTTGTATCAATATATTATGTTGTAACTGTAATTTTGTTTTATAATTATAATTTCATCTTTTAGTTGATATTTTATGTTGTAATTATAATTTCATTTTAGAACTATTTTTTTATTTTATAACTATAATTTTCTTTTATAACTGCAATGTCATTTTATATATAAATATGTACATATTTCTGAAAGCGTATCGAAGTGAGAAGATTATTATTTAACTTTTGTATTTGTTTAATTGATAAAGATCTACATAGAGCAATAGGAACTAATTGGATAACCAATGACTCAGAATAAAAAAAACTGGATTTTTTTTTTTTGATAAAAGAAAACATATTAATTGTGACATTTGTAGATTTTGTCTTCTAATAGAGAATAGATTTTAACTTTAAAACAATAGACTGTAAAATTCATTTAAATGCTTTTCTTTTCGTATTTTTTGACTCGTCTGTCTTAGTATTAAATGCGTGATAATTATATAATAATTATTTTTTATCTTTTTCTTCATCTAGCATCTTGTTTATCTACTGTTTCGTTCGATGTCCTTGTTTTCATTCTACTCATAGATATGCAATAACATATACTTGAGTAATTCATTTAAAGTTGTTCAAGTTGTATTTTAGTGCTTTTTTCTCAATCCTAATGGAATGATAACATCAAAGATAATAGAATGATCTGGGAAAGTCTTTTTTTTGTATCACTCTTGAAAAAATGCAAAAGAAAAAACTTCCAGTGTCAGTTATTTTTGATCTATCAATATTTTTATTTGATGTATGCAGATCATTCTAATGTGTTGAGAGTAGTTTCTTTAATATGTTTAAAATCATATTCTTATTTTATGCCCGAATGCTTCAGGTTTTTTCCATATGACCAGACAAAATTTTTGTGTCAGAACTTTTATTAAATTTTTATTTTATGACATACATCATTGAACTTTTCTATATATGCGACGATTTAAAGGTAAAAAATTAGATGACATGACGATACCGATTTAATCCTATTAGCTACAAAAAAAGAGAGAAATTAATCTAGTATTTATTTTAACGATCAAAATCATCAGTGTATTACGCAAGTTGCAGCCAAATTCATTGTGGATGACACATTCACCCATTTAAAATGATAGTATACAGTTGTTTTTTTATCGAGTTTCATTCTGAATAAAAATGGGTAAATATATACTTTATTAAAAAAATTAATTAATTTAAAAAGTAAAAAAAATATATTCTTGTTATTTCTTTTATTTTTAAAGGTTTCTGTCAGAAATAGTCTTGTTCGTAAAAAATATGCTAAGACAATCTAAAATTTCTCTAAACTCGTCTAAAGGTTAATGGGACTTCAGAAAAAGACGATGAGAGTAAGGACTACCTACGAATATTAGATCAAATTAATATAAAACATCTAGCAATATATATATTATTGATATATGTTTGTAAGTATTTGATAGTTTAATAAAGAATAACATTGGTTGGTAATTAATAATTATGCTTTTATAAGTTTAAACGAGAGCAAACTATTCTTCTTATTTAATTGAGACTTGTAAATATCACATTCTGCTTGTTTTTCTTTTTGCTTGTATTTGTCAACGTTTTTACTTTAATTCATTCGCTATCATCACAGGCGTTAGATCGAGAACCTTGCTTTTCAACGTCTCTTGTGTTATACAAATGATTAGGTAAAATTAGGTTCGATAAGAAATGGGCTCGATTAACAAGAATTTATAGTGAAGTAGTTCACCAGCAGTATAACGTCAACATTATTGACTTGATTATCAATGAGACAGAAGTAGTCTTTAAACGAAATATCGAAATTCTAGAATCCGACTCAAATGCCATAATAAGAGGATTTTTTCTCAATCTGAATTTTTCTTCTGCTTGTATATCAGCCGCCAATACAAATCACTAAATTCGTTTCGATATAGAGGATATACATGTATTTATTTTGACGTTTTATATATAATAGATCAATATATGAAATACTTGAAAATACAGTTTATATTTGAATACAAACATCAAATCTACTATGAATAAAACAAACATAGACTCATCAAAATGGTTCTAGAAGAAAAAAAGAATAGATAATTTTTCATAAAGCTTCTAAGATTCACATAATATTATGAAACATATTTCCATTTGAAATATTTAAACTATCCGAATGATTTGCCAAATAATCGATTTTATTACATTTATATGATCTAATGGAAATAAGTCGAATGAAAAGTTTGTCAATGAAATCATTTTCTTCTAAAGTATTTTTTTATTAAATTTCTTAAAATGTAGTTGCTATTATTTCCATTAAGCATAACTATCAGTATCTCGAGACCGACAGAAACGACAGAGAAACGGATCAGAAGATTTTTGATATATTTGAAAAAATTTTGGAAAGGTTTGAGAGTATGTGGCGGACGGAAGAGAAGAAGGACTTGCGAACAATAAAAATAATAAAACACTGAGAATTTAGCTGGAGAGAAAGAAAATTTTTCGAGATTGAAGGTTATCCCCTCAACCCAACTCTCCTTCATTCAAAAAACTCTGAGTTTACGTGCATAAAAAAGTTTGACCATTTTCTTATAAAAAGTATTTTTGACTGAATTTATTTAATTATATCATTCTATTCGAATCATTGCCTTTCAATAAGTAGGTTTTATAATTATCTTCATTTTATATCATAGAAAAGATGTAATCAAATGAAAAATGTTCTTTTTTTATCACAGATCAAAGAATAGTCTGCTTGAATAATAACACTAAAAACTATTATTTAAAAGATAATTAGTCGTACTGCATGAAGCTAGTTGTTTTAACTTTTCAATTATATTTTTTCCATTGATTGTATATCTGTTATTTAACAAATGATTCTTTGGTTAACAAACTAAATTCTTCCTTAGTTTCTTTTTTATTTATCCAAGCAGACAAGAGTTTTTGAAAATCCGTTTAAATATCCAAGTTGCAGCTATCATTTAATTGTTTTCACATTCGTTCCAAAAATAGTCACTATCATCTGGATATCGTCTTGAATATGGTCAGAAAGTACATTCTCTGAGTAGACACGAAAATATTCAAGAAAGAATCATGATTTAATTGTCTAAACGTGTTTTTCGAAATTCTTATTTACTTCGATAAAATGCATCATTTTTGATAACTAAAAAGAAAATTTATCAGTAAGTAACGTCTAATATGGTATAAAACATCTTACTCTATTAAAATGACTTTCATTGTATTTTTAAAAATCGATTGAGAAATATAACATATAAAATCGTTTGTAGTTAAACATGATTAATAGAATGTCAGTGAGAGTAATTATAGAAATCCAATGAATTAATCACTTTTTTAAAACATAGATCTCGAATATTATTCTTATTTTTGTTTTTAATAAGATTTTTAACTTTTATTTTATTGTAACAATTATGTGTTAGTTTATTTTTTTCTCATAACATTTCAATTAGAAAAATTATGTTGGTCAATATTTTAAAGTTCTCAGTTCGTTAAATTCTCGCGATTTTTCTTTGTTGAATCTATCGAAATCTATTTATCATTTATATATCGTTAAATGGATTAAAAAACGACATTTTTTATTGTCAATGCTTTTCTATATTGATATAGCATGAAATTTTTTTTTTGTATGAGTCTGTGAAGTTCATTCGTGTATTATAAAGTGAAATTCAATGGAGTTTCGGAAGTTTTTGAGTTATCCGATGTATTCTTCAAAATAAATAATCTTTAAAGCTTATATTTATCTGAGTATTATTTTATGCCGATATTTGTTTGTCTTCGAACTCAATTTAGTTTATGTAAGAATAGAAAAGTATTAATGAGAATTATATTCAAATGAAAGAAAAAAAAGTATTTCGATAATGTCGAATAATTTCGAGAGAAAATTGCATCTTCGTTTCATCCTTATTCACAATCATTAGGCTTTTAATACACCATCGATGAATAAAATCATATTTTCTATATATCTTTGTAGGTTTTTATATTCGAAATCACCTTGTCTAGATTTGACTTTTGAGATTATTTGACATAATCAGATTTCTAAGTTTATATATTTCTCATTGTTGAATAATTACTGTCTCTTCTGACATTTTATTATTTAAAAAAACTAATAGATTTTTTCTTTGTTCGTAAAATTTACGTGATTAAAAAAAAACAAGTTTGTGACACATCTTTTTAATGAAATAAAAATTCTTCTTTAATTAAATTTTGCCTTGGGTTATATATTTGTTTCTATTTAACTTTCTCGAAGTTATAGGTTTTTTTTTATGCAAAAAACCTACACACTGAGACAGTACACAAATGAGAAGATAGACTCTAGCATAAGTGGTTTTGTAAATTTTTAGTGCAAATAACAATTAAAAATCGGTTTCTCCAAGTGAATGTTGTTTAATCAAAAAGAGGCACAGAATATTTTCTGTTGCTAGAAAACATACAAATATAATAATAAACTATGTATTTTCGTTCGCATGAGACTCTCGAAAAAAAAATTGTCGTTCTAAACTTATTCCGAGTAAACACTATGACGATCGTAATTGTCTGAAAAACAAGAATGGCGATATAATATTTATCTAAAAATACATTGATGATATGTGATAATCATCAATAGCATAGACCTAGTCTCACATATTACCTGAGAAACTCTGTCTGATGAAATAATATCTCCAATGGACAGTAAAAGTTTTTAACATTAATCTTCAGTGTTAGAATATGTAGGAGCTAATACAAGATTAAATATATGATTTGATCATAAGAGAATAATCATACGATTCTATGATAAAAGTTTATGTCTAAACAAATAGGTTAGTATTTATGTGGATTTTATCTTAAGAAAATCATTAGAAAACTGAAATATTTCTATTTTATATAGATAAACGCATCTTTTATATTTGTAATGAGTTAATTAACTAAAGAACAATACGAAATAAAAATGAAGCTTACAATATTTTGTAACCGGAAATAATTGTGTTGCTTTTCATGATTCTTCACATAACATTCTGACTAAAAAATAAATCGATTTGAGCAAACATTTTATTTTTGAATAACTTAGCGAAACATAAATCATCGAGTGTTATTCGATTAACACAAAAACATTCACAGTAAACATGAGTCGTGCTAAATATCTTTTGCAGGTTCATTATGTAAATATATATATTAATTGTATTTCATTCATTGAGATTATGAAATGAGACTTTTCTTTAACACATTAAGAGTCGAAATACAGTACAATGAATACATTAAATCCTCGAAAGATTGGTGGTTCCAATGTGTTGTCTTTATTTAAAAGGTTAGCAGCCACTTACTGGAGTAATTTCTTGGGATATTCTATCGATTCTGTAAAGGTAGATAGAAATGAGAAACAACTTTTCAGAACTATGATTCTTTTAATAATACAATTTAAATATATTTTATGCTTTCCATGCATAAAACTCATTTTGTAAATAAATCCAAAAAGTTCGAAACAAAAATCTCGTTAGAACATCTCAAAGATGCTGTATATAGCTGATTTCTTCCTCCTCGATTTAATGCGAAAGGAGTTTCCTATTCATTTTCTCTGTGTCATGTCTTCAAAAGTATATTTGTTGTTAATAATACCCTTACTTTCAACTTTTTCCGTTTAGACTGTGCATACGTACTTATTCAGCTAGTTCATAAAAATAAACTTAAACTCTTCAATAATTTGTTTTTCAAAGTTATCGATCAAAGAAATCTGTTTCAATTAAACCTCTAGTATGTACTAGTAGTGACAAGTCTGAAGATATTTTCCAGTAGAAGTTTGTATGAGTTTTGGTCTCGCTGAATGTGCAAATAAGTAAAATGCAGGTTTCTTTACCAATATTGTACATAAAATGAATGTATTTTAATTATTTATGTTTTACTATTGACTAGCTGACTATTTTAAAAGATACAAATCGTTTATTAATATCATATTATTCAGAACTTTATACTTTTTCCGGTAGTAAAAAACTTAAAGTTTTAGGATGTAAAATAATGGAAATACTAAGATTAGAAATGCATACCTATGCGAAATGTTTTAGCTTTAGAAGTACTATGTCAATGTCATGAATTGGTAGCATCGTTATCAATAATTATTTATATTGTGCTTATTAATCTAGATCTTGTTAACTAAGGAATAAGTTGTTCCAATATCTAATCAATGACTTCAGACTTGGATATTTTATTTGTCAAGATGTTTACTTCTTAAATATTCTCTCAATAACCATCGAAAAGTATATCGATAGTTTAATCTATACTTTTCTAGGCGGCTAACAACAACTTTATTCTAATTTGAAACCTTAAACATAAAGTAATATTGACATCTTTAAAAGAGATAGTTATCAAACTTATAAAACACTAGTCAATTTTATTTGTTTGAAAAAGTTTCACTCGGATAAGTTGAAATTTTCAATTTTCAAAATTTGTACTTTTTTATATTAAAAAGTGATATTTTAGTGTATTGAAAATTTTAGAATATCATATTTGAAATAAATTCAATTTAAGAATGTCTTTGTTCGATGAAAATCTCGTTACTTCAATTAATAACGCGACTATTCAACTTAATCGTTACTTACCATTATTGATATATATATTTGGCATTATCGGAAATCTATTGAATATGATTGTTTTACCAAGACCAGCTCTTCGTTCAAATTCATGTGTTCTTCTATTTCTTTGTTCATCATTCGCAAGTCTCATTGCTATTATTTCTGGTTTAACTACGCGACTTTCAGCTGGTTGGGCTATTGATTTATCTGAAACTATTGGATGGCTTTGCAAAATTCGCATTTTGGTTTTATTTGTATTAAGAACAATGTTTGTTTGGCTTCTTGTATTTGCTGCTATTGATAGATGGCTTTCAGCCAGTATTCACAATCACAGACGTAATTTAAGTACATTAAAAAATGCTCGACGATCTATTATAATTGTGACACTTTTCTCATTAGTACTCAATGGTCCACTACTTTATTGTTACGAAGCTAACTTGATTGGTACGCCAGCTAAATGTTTTGGATATTCAACAGAATGTCGTCTATACACTGATCTATCTTTTACAATTGGTATTATTGTTATTCCATCATTACTTATGACATTATTTGGTTTCTTAACAATTAACAATATACATCAATTAAAAAAATGTGTCAATACAAGAAATAGTTCAATAACAAATCCAAATATGTCAATCAATTTGCATGTGCAACAACAAAAGAAGAGAACAAATCGAAGTCTATTTAAAATGCTATGTGTACAAGTTCTTTTTCTCATATTATGTAGTGCTCCATATGTAATATATAGACTTTATATTACATTTGCATCTACTACATCGTCAAAATCTGAATTACAGAAAGCTATTGAAGGTTTATTGTTCAATTTATGCACGAATCTTACTTATTTATCCACTGCAATGCCATTCTACATTTATACATTATTTGGTGGAACAATGTTTCGCAATGAACTTTTACATGTAGCAAAGTCTATTTATCGAAAGTGTCGATGTTTGTAATGTAAATTTTCTGTTTTCAATAAGAGCTTATCAACTAGAAATTGAATAGATAAATAAAAATCCTAAATGAATCTATGTTAAATTCAGTTTAAAATAATTTTAATTGATTTTCATTTCTAGTTTATTGGATAGTTTAACGAATGAATTGATTTTTCTATTGAGAAATAAAGTCAAAATAATGCAATGATTTTTTTAATGTCAAATAGAATAATCAATATTTTCAAAAGATAGAAAAAAAAAATTTTCTTAATTATTTGTTGTCAACACAGAAATATAATTGTAAATTAATATTTCCACATTTTTGGCTAAAGATGAGCAATATACGTGCATAAGAAATTCTCATCAATAAAGCTTCTAGTCTGAATAATGATACCTCTATTTCTCAAGTTCCTCTTTCCGACGAGAAACAAAATCCATTTATGTCAAAATTACCGAAATTAAGATAAATACATGGAAGGATAAGTTTTCAGATCAAATCTTTCGTAAACAATATTATATTTTATTTATCATGTCATTTTTCATAGAAACTCATAGTAACTTCCATTAAATTGTGTTAGAAAAACATGAGTTCTTCAAAAAACAAAACAAAAAAAACTAGTAAATCTTTTTCGATTTGACTCTATCCATTTTGTTTTAGTTGTGCATTCGAGACTAGTCAAAGAAGCTTCATTTTATCATATTGTGATGTTCTTGTTTTCGAAGGACAAAATAAAGTTGCAGTGCGAGGTAGTATTCGTTTTTTAACTTAAGATTTTCTATTATTATATAAAATAAGTACCTCTATGAATAGATAAAACATTTTTTTAAAGTTTTTCAAAGTATTAAATATATCATATATTTTCTTCGTGTAAGTAAAACGTCAAAATTAAAACAAAAAATTTTCTGTCAAATACAACCACTTAGTATGCTCTTTCAAATTAAAAAAAAACATTCAATAAATCAAATGAAGACAAAAAAAGAATATTTGGTTGTCAAATGGGTTAGTTTTTTATTGTTATTTATTGAACATGTCTTGGAAATGTTACAATATATGACTAAAAAATTTCATTATAATCTCTCTGATATAGCTTCGAAATATCATATAAATTTAGCTTGATCAGCGTATACTTGTTTCAAAATCATTTTATGAAGTTAGACGCAACTTTAATGATACTATACTTTGACCATTACTATATCGATATCCTCTTGTACCTTTTCTGTTATGTTTAAATGATCAATTTTTATTTCTTTTTTATTAGTTGTTTCTGCAGACATGAATAAAATCTTAAATAAAATTGGCATTTTATTGAGTATAAATTTATCTAGTATTGAGAATAAGTTTGACTAAAAATATTGTTCAATATTAGTAATTTTTTTAATGATCAGCTGATAAAACATTGCAGATATCTAACTAGTTTGGTCGTGAGTTCATGTCTATGAATATTATTCAATATTCTCAAATTATATGCGTTCTGTCATTATGCATCTATTTGTTGATTTTGCTTTTATTCATGTATGCCGTTTATTCTTTGTTAACTGTCAATCGTCACCATTGTTCTTTTCATAGTAAAAGAGCATGTAATCCACTTTCAAACAATTGATATTTCATACTCCGTTGATGTTCACATATTAGTTCAATTTTATGTGTCGATAAACTATATTCTGCTCTTTTTTTTTGTAAAAATATGGATTGATTTTCTACGACCTTAGAAAAACTATAATTTAACAATGAAAATATGTTTGTTGGACTATAAAATATAATAGTATCAAAACGGTTTTTATTGAAAAAATATAAATGGATCCGTTTTTTTTGTTCTCTTCTTCCATTATGTTCTTGTAACGTGACAATAAAAGAGAAGGTAGAAAAAAAAGGGTATTATGTAAACATTCTTGTCTCCTGCAATGACTCAAAAATCAGAAGAACAATTGAACATATTCAAGTAAAATTAACATTTGTCGTGTTTAATAAAATAGTATGGGATCAAACTGTTGTAAGAACGTTCGTGTAGCTGGCATTTCTCAGCCCGAATCAGCCAACGTGGATAATCCAGAAGAGCAGCATAAAGAGTCTATACTTTTTGTTGCACCGTCCATGCAAACGGAATTCGATGCCGATAAAAATCGTGGACAAACAAATTCTACACATCCTGCACAACATCCAAACTCTGTTGATTCTGACAATAATGATAAAAATCCTTCTCCTTTACGCCGTCGAGAAGTTTCAAAGGAAAATGATCTAGCAAATAATCATAAACCTGTTATTTCTTCTCAATTTCCACCTATTCGACGACAAAAATATAATGCAGAAAATAAACAGCGACAATCCACTCATCCTGTACAATCACTATCAAAAAGAACTACTATTGAAGGAATGCATAATCAGAACACAACTATTCATTTACCATCACTACAAAAACCCGTTAATATGAAGAAAGATGAAACCCTAGTGGAATCTGTATCAGGTGAAAGCTATTCCGAAAGTGATGATAAAATTGCTGATGAATGGCGTTTAATGACAGTACCTGATAGAGCTGATTTCTACGAAGAAGATAGATTTTTTACATCAACTCCAATTCCACCAAGTCCAGAGCAATCGGAATCCGAAAAGGAACATGTTGAACATCTAAATAATTTATTACGACCAATGTCGAATAATATTGGTTCTGATGATGAACATACATCTGCTCCATTAAATATACTACAGATTCTACGACTTCAAGAACAAATAAATTTGGATGAATATTTTAAACCTATACCAATTCCAGAATTAGAAATTTCTCCTCAACATCTCTATTCTATTACTGATAAAACAAACTTACCGTTGTCTACTATTCAAAAAATTGATAACGATAATACTCCTGATAACTCATTTGATGAATCTACTATTTATTTATCTAATACATCAGTTGTTTCTATTGATAGGAAAAATACTGCTTGTGAACTTGAAATTATTCATCCAGAAGCATTCGATGAACCTTTTAATGTACAACGTCAACATGTAATCGAAAACAGTAGTTATCGTTTAATTATTGAAGCTTGGCGTCCTGATTCAATTGAACAGCTTGTCGATCAAATAAAAAATGTTTCAAAAAATAAACCGACTATCGATTGTCTTTGGATTCTATTCTATTGGATTGCACGAAATATTGAATATGATACTGTACCATATGTTGGAAAAAAACATGTTGACAAATCAGCAGAAGCAGTTTTTCGAACAGGAAAAGCCGTAGCTGATGGTTATGCTAATTTATTTAAATGTTTATGTAATGCATTGAACTTAACGTGCGAAAAAGTAAATGGCTATTCGAAAGCATACATCTTTGATTCTTGCAATAAATCATCTGTACCAATCGATCATACGTGGAATGCCGTTCAAATAAATCAACACTGGCATCTTATCGATTTGACTTGCAGTGCTGGTTATCTTGATGATAATAGAGTATTCAAACGTGAATTAAATTCATATTATTTTCTTCCTCGACCGAACGAAATGATTTATCATCACTTTCCTACTAGTGAACGATGGCAATTATTGAAAAAACCTATTAAAATGATGCAATATATGCAGATGCCTAAACTATGGCCGAAATTCTTTCAACTTAATCTGAAAATGATCATTCCTAGTGACATAATACACGTTGATCTAGTTCCACGTCAATCCTATGCATTAGTGATAATACAAGCTCCGCGTACCATCAGTCTTGTTGCAAGTTTCAAACTGAACGAAAAAGAAATTGATGGAGGATATCGAATCGCATACGATAGACGAAAACGTCTCTATCGTTGTTATTTCGCTCCAGCTTCTATAGGTGTACATATAATACACTTCTTTGCAAAAGACGATAGTATTGCTAATAGTTCATATAATAATGTGGCTGAGTTAGAACTCGATATCAGACAAATACCATCAAAACCAATTAGTTTTCCGAAAACTTGGAAGTCTTTCTCCGAATTAAACCTTGAAATTGTTTGGCCGTGCAATACACATGTAATTAAAATGGATCATGGCGACACTCATACTGAAATTCTTATTCAAGCACCAAGTGATGTTGAACTCTCCGGTCGACTAACTGTAGACAATAGTGTAAAAGTTCCTGGAGGACATTGCACGTTTCTCGATCGACGAAAAGGCGTCTGGCGATGTATGTTTGCGCCTCATCGTGATGGTTTATTCGAAGCTTATATTTTGGCTAAAAGACGATTAGACCCTGGCAGTTTCGCAATAGCTGCACGCTTTAAGATTAAAGCAAGACGAATTCCGAAACCACCACTTTCTTATCCGAAAACATGGCAACTTTTTCACGATCTCGATCTTCAAGTAGAAATACCACGCAATAGTGCTACAGTTATGTGGCCTGAATATGGTTCCTATGCTCAAGTATGCATAAAAACGCCGGACGACGTTCAATTGATGTGTTGTATAGAACATAATGGTATTCGAATAGAAAATGGAGCATTAACACAGTTTAATGGTGAAAAACACCATTGGCAATTATTCTTCGCACCAGAACAAACTGGTAAACATAAATTATTGGTTTTTGCACATTGCAGTACTCCTGATGGAGTAATATCAGGAATTGCTGTTGAATTTCACCTCGATGTAACGCAACTTCGACATTCAATTAAATTTCCAGTCATATATACAACATTTCTTACTAAAAAATGTCGAATATACGAACCCTTGGACGGAATTTTAAAAAGAGGTGCTCTCGTTTGCATTCATTGCGAAATACCTAATGCAAAACAAGTCGATTTGACCGTTGATTCAAAATGGGTTAAAACTGAAGGTTATCGAGATTCAATTCTAAATAGACAAATTATTGTTGGTTCAAGAGAAGTTATTATATATGCTAAATATGACGAAAATACAATTTACAATGAACTTATTAAATATACTGTTCAATAATTAACTGTATTTAATAAAAATAAAAATAATGTAACTAGAAGTTTACTAAAGATATTGTTGTTACATCTAAATAGATTATATTTTAAAAGAAACGATAAATTTTAGAAAATAACTAACAATGATCAACTTCGAATAGTCGATATTTAGTTATAATCCCTGTTGATGAATTGTTCATCATAGGAATCACATAATATTCAACTGAATAAAAGAAAGAATTCAAAGCAACTCTATTCCATATTTATCAGGTTGTTTGCATCTATATTAAAGTATCATTTGAATAGAATTTTCTTAGCTTTTTTTCTTTTTATAGTGTATCAAAAACTCGTTTGATGATTCTTTATAAGAAGTAAGCAATTTTTCAACTAACTTTCAGCATAAATAGCATAAACCATTATTCACAATTCAGTTTATTTTTCTGATTTTATCTTAATGGAATTATATGATCTGCAAGTGATAGTTTTTCTATAGATGAGTAGAAAACAATAGTATGCACTTAGTTTTTCCTTTTTTTCCTCGTTTAAAATGATATAACTTTTGTTGTTTACTAGCAAAAGAATTTTCCTTAGTATTAATTAGAAATATTTTAGATTTTACTACAAATAAAGCTTTCTGATTCAATATTTAAATAATTGATCATATTACTAGAGAATGTCAAACCATGCTTACGAACAGAAAATATCCACAACAATTTTAAGAATTTATAACAATAATGTGTCTTCTCAACATGAAAACGAATTATATGCCACCATTAACTTGTAGACATAAAAAGAAATTCGATCAGTTAGTCATCTTCCTTCTTTTCATAATCAGATATATTTTTACAGTTCAACTCGCATGAATATCCTTTTCTACTTTTTTTTTTTAAATTGATGAATCTTCTTTTAAGTTTATAATCTATCGACAAGAAAATGAAAGCTGTATATTATGATTTGTAAAAAATATTGATTCACATCATTTTTTAGAATACAAACATAGTTTGCCAAATAAGGGTTTTCATTCATGCTCAAATTGCTTGAAAACCGAATGTTGGTTATTGATTGCCAATATTGTTTCTGAAAGCTATCACTAATCATTTGCTTGGAACATTCTCTTTTTTTTAGTGAAGTCAGTGTTCATTGCCTATTTATTGAGTCTGTTTTCTTTTTTTTATTAAACTAGCCAACAGACAAGGAACCGCTAGGTTAATGGAAGAAAATAATTTCAGAAATTTGCAAAATGATCTTTCACAATTAATATATGAAATTTATTTCAAAAATGTATTATAATGAAAATGATGCGATCATCAATGAAAAAGATTGTAATTCTACAAAACATACTCGGAATCGATAGAATCTAATATTCATCACAAAAAAAAACACAAACAAAAAGTTAGAATCTGTATCCATTATGTCGAATTTATTGAAATGCGTTTACGTTTTCTTGCAACCATTCTTCTAGTGTGCGTAATGGTCTATTGATGAGAATAGATAATTGTGGTGTAACATGTCCAGTTATCGATTCAATAGATAATGAAACTAAATCGTAAGCATATGAATGATGCATTCCGATACCAATGAACGTCTTATAAAGAGTTTCAAACGGTTGTTGTTCGTAAGTAATAGACCTACCCAAAACTTTACTAAAAATAGCTGCTCGTTGTTCCTGAGTGATAAATTCAGCGCCCATTTCATAAACACAGCGATCATGCTTGTTGATCGGTTCCATTAAAATAACGACAGAGCAATCGGAAATGTCTATAAATAAATATTAAGTTTTATTCCAATTGTTGACTTTTTTGTATCAAGTATCATATAGATACTGAAAATTTGTTAGTGCGGCCCATTCTGAAATCAAAGTATGGAAATCACGAACTCTAGCTCGTATGGATTTTTGATATATATTGTCAGAGCTTTTAAAATAATTTATTTTTAAAAAATGTCAAATAAATGAATAATTCAAAATCATTACAGTTTTTATTGTTTATAGACGTGCTCTGAAATTTTATCATTTCGAAAATGTTTAAATTAATAATTATTTTTCTACCAATTTATTTGATTTATGTAATATCGTTATACTGTAAAAACTTATTTGTATTATCAGATACATCTTCAATTCATAGATTATTTTCTCGTAATGATAACATATCTATGATACATGCCAGAGAAAGCGGCAAATATAATTTTACTCTTCATTTCGTCGATTCAACTACTATATTAACTCGCTATAGACATTGATTTTATCGATTAGTAAGTTATCCTACATACTATTCTTTCTCTCGACAAGGTTTGACTTATACTACTGAGTTTTGCCTGAAATTAGAATTCAATCAGTTCAAATTTTTCTCTGTCCGTTCGAATAGAACTCTATTAGATCAAAAAAACGATCGCTTTATTGATTAAAACCTACAATAAGGTTCTTTCGCTGCATGAAAAGCCCAAAATTGCACTATTTAGACTAAACAGTTAGAATCTACGGAGTTCCAGAATAATCTAAGCACTGATATTACTTGCGCGTCATTTTTCCTTGCTATGGAAACATATCCAATAATTTTTGGCTTTCTTTGGTCACGGTTACTACGGCCTGCGCGATGCGGGGAGAGCACGCTACTAATGTCTGTAATGAAAGGGGCCTAGTAGAGTGGAAGCCAGAAAACCTCGATTTAAAACTTGCACTCACTATTTTCTTCGAAAATTTATGTTAGTTTCACAAAATGATACGTTTTGTTTAATAGTAGTGGGAATAAAATTGAGTACATAATTTTTTTTTTGAAACAGTATATTTTTTGGGACAATCGTTGCATTTCCATGTTACTCAATATATTCTCTTTATTGAAAACAAAATTCTTCTTGTCTGACTGAAGCAAAAAAGAAATATTATTTGATAATCTTTTTTTTCTACTACTCACCTTTTGTATCAATCCATGCAAACGTCAATGAAGGAGGTCCAGATGAGACAAGCTTATTTGCATGTTTAACTGATTGTATATCACTCATAAGTTGATTGCTCATAAATACACTTGGACGTAATACGACTAACGAACGTTCATTTGGTCGTTCATCAGCAAGTTTCCATAATTTCTCTTCACTTGTTGTATGCATATATCCAATAATACCTTGTCTTCCCAATGAACGAACAGTAAATGATGAGAGATCAACAATTTGACGTACACCTTTTTCATACGCTATCTTTCCAAACGTTTCTTTAACCTCGCTCATTCCTGTAGGTCTCTTGTAATCGCCAACAACAAGAAGAAAAAGACGAGTATGTCCTTCGATTGCTTTTTCATACACTTCAACAGATGAGTAGGTACCAACGACAATTGTTAAACACCCAGTAAGAATTTCATCTTTGAATAAATTCTTTGCTTTAGATTCATCTCGTACATAAGCTGTTGTATTAAATCCTTTTTTGACAAGACCACGAACAACACCACTTCCAATAGCTCCACTAGCGCCAACTACAAATATATGCTCTTTATTTGTTGACATATTACAAATGAAAATAAAACAATAAAGTATATTTTGTTTGTTTGTTTGTTTGTTTGTCTTCTATTTTACTATTGCACTAAATAGACAAGAAAAGAATTAGAAATAAAACAAAATAAGTAATGAGGCTACCTCTAATGCAATGACAATATTATAACGTTCTTGAATAATCACAAGGCGAAGTCAACAGAACTGAACCAAACATATGAATAAGAACTCGTAAGAAATGGATCAAACTCAATGTGAATCAAAATCAAATCCATAGTTCACAACTCACTCATTGACACTAGTGTCAAAAATATTCCCAATAGATGTCCTTTATGGTCGAATTAATTTATATGATATTCAAGAGAGTCACTTTTTCTCATCATCTTGATGCTTCTATCAAAACTAAATGTCAATAATTTCATTTACTGATGATTCTTCCACTAGTTGAAATTCACATTAATAAATTGGAATAGCTAGATAATGCTTGAGAAAATAACTCTTACGTATCGTCTAATGAGTCAAATTAGACAATTTCAGTTTCAAGAAATAGCGAGGCTCCATGCGATTGTTCAAAGTCGTATATACGTCTCTCTTTTTGACGATAAGGATAATTTTCTTGCGTCTCATAATTAGAACAATAACTGCTAGTACATAAATAAACATTCATTGGTGTATCGATACGTTATATTGTCTATTTATTAATTGAAAATATGATTGAATGGTATATTGCACGACTAATGAACTTCTAACACAGATTCGAAAGATCACTAGTAGTCTATGTTTGAACTTGTTGCAATATATTAAGCTAAGGATAGTCTTTAGTAATTTCATTTCAATTCAATTAATTTTAGCTGATAATTATTGAGAAAAAGAATAAAGAATTTCAATTTCACTTCTAGGGATTATTTTCTGCATACTGGAGTGAATACTTTAGTAAAAAAAATACAGTAGGTCCGCGCAGTATCTAAATGGGTAACTAAGATGAGATTGTATTTGTTTCATAAGTTCTCATTTGGTTGTTCAACATGCACACTTAAATCAAAAATTAAATAATGAAAACAGAAGAGACGAACAAATCATTTGAAACTATTGAGAGAAAATGTCATCTTATTTCTAATTTACTTTATCAATTGTGAATTTTTTAAAAAATAGTAAATAAATCTTTCAAAATATTTTTCGATCGAATCAGCTCTTCGATCTGTGATAATATTTTACAAATCAAAGAGCTAATTGAATCGAAAACTGTTTCACAATATCTATGGATTCATTTGAAAATAATTTTCGATCTTGTGGAGTAGATTTGAACCGAGATGAGGTTTTCCCAATAAATTCAAATGATTTTGTCGTTTGTTCTGTTTTCATTATTCAGCTTTTGATTTAAGTCTGCATACTGAACAATAGAATGAGAACTTGTGAAACAAATATAATATCATTGCAGTGATCCACTTAGAGACTTGGTCAATTTAATTAAGAATTCAGTATAAATAGCATAATGAAAAGTAGAATTTCCACAGATTAAACAAAGATCAATAAAAAAAATGAATGTAATTTCACGAGTTTTTTCAAAAAGAGAGGCGTATATACGACGTTAAACAATCTCTTGTAACCTCCCTGTTTCTTAGAACTGACATTGTCTAGTTTTACTCATTAAACAATACGTAAGAATCGTTGTCTCAAGTATCATCTAGCTATTTCAACTAGTGAAAGAAGTGTTAGTACAAGAAAGTAATGTCATTTGATTTGAGATAATCATTAAGATAATGAGAAAAAAAGATACAATAATGAAGGAGTTTCATCGAAATTAATTTGATCACAAAGAATATCTAGTGAGAATATTTTTGATACTGCAATCTCAATGGTTGAACCATGGATTATGGACTAGTTTTCGGTTCATGAGGATTATAGTTCACTTAGGGTGACCACAATGCAATGCATATCTACGATGAAATAATAATTCTACTTAGTTATTATTTTGATCAATAAGAGTCATAAAACAAGACACTTTAAAAATGTTACCTAGATCATACTGAGAGTAATGACATTTAGTAGTGAAGTTCTACAGAATAGAGTTAATCCGATTTTTACTTGTAGTAAAACATGAGTCACAGCGTTTACACGAAACAAAATTATGAAATCAAGGAAAACCCATTGACTCTAGGAACTTTCCTGCGGCTTGTGCTCTAGTAAACAACTTAGATGTAGCACTGGCTCAGGAATTTTTCTATAGGATGAGTTGATCCAGAAGGATCTCGAGCACTTTGCCAAGAATAACAACTCTCGTTTCTGTCGTTCGCTGTGGATAATGATACTTGTTGTTAGACATCACTGGAAAATTTAATAGTATTGGAGCAATTCGAAGAGCCTAGTTGCAGTTTTTCTCAAAATCTTTAAGTAAGCGGGCTTTGTGCGAATGAAAAGTAGGAAATTGAAAAGATTTCCCATTCTGTGACAAAATAATAGATGCAAAAGAATGCTCCAGCCAATGTATTTTGGTTTCGAATGCTTTGGAGAAGGTTACTCAATTGACTTTCAGCAATGTTTCATTGAAAAACAATTCCTATCCGATGTGTCTAGTTTTTTCGATTGAAAACCTGAAAAGTCTCAAAAAAAGCTTACGTGTACACATTTTCTTTGAGAAAAATTGCAGCATGAAGGCAGTCTTTGTAAAATGCACTATGTCTTTTCTTCGTAGAGAATATCCAAAAAATTCGGTAAAATTTTGAAGCTCAACGCGGTGCAAAAATGCCGTACGAAAGTCAATTGAAAAAATCAAGTTTTCAGAGACATTGAACTGCGAATAACGTTTCGATCCTCGCTTCTCAAAGCTTTGTGAGGTCACAACAGCTCCATAACACACCAGTTTTTTTTGAAGTATTGAAAACTAACTATGTCACTTTTCTAACGTAAGCAATGCATACTAGATCCATTTGTGATTAAGATATCTGTAGTGCAAAGTACTAAGCATTCTTCTGCATAATTATACATTTTTGACATATGAAATTACCGTATATAATATTCTGCTGTGTAAAAATAGATGTAATGAAGTTTAACATAAAAAATATTCTATAATTGTTGTGATTTACTTAGAGAATATCTATCTATTATTTGTTCACAATTTATTTTAATGTCAAATTTCATTAGTAACACTGTCAAATTACTAGAAGATTCTCATTTATTGAGTCTTGTATGTAATATTATTATTTCTATACTAGAAATTTGTTTTCACACGTACTTTTTGGAATATGTACGTTTTATAGTAGCTTGTATTATTCAGATAGTCTTTGAAATGCACGTGAGATTAGTAGAAGTTTATTTAAAATCTTTTACTAGCTTCGTAATCAATCAAGATTTCAACAACCTAAAGTTAATATTTATCTGATCAGAAAACTAATTATTTTAAAACTGATAATGCTCACAATAATTTCAAGATGAGCTATGTTCTGCTCAGTCCATTCTGCTGACGTCGTCACTACTCAGATGATGACTATGTTGATATAGGTGCAAGCAATCACTTCAATCAATACTCCGAAAGTTTCCTAAATTATTATTGATAAAATGAATGATTGGTCTATTTGGATAATGCAAGCTGTGGCTCTAATAAGTGGAAGTAGAAATTGGGTAATCTCCATTAATATCGTTTTTCAGATAATACTTTATAGACAATATAACATTGCAGTTTATTAATACACATTATCAGACAACATAGTGCAGCTAATACATTCAAAATAGAGAAAAGGACGTGTATTCAATAAAAGTTTTTCATTTTCATTTTTTTATTTTGTATTTTGTCTCGTTTGAAAATAAATGGGCATGCATGCACCAATTTTTACCACATGATGCTGATATTTGTTTCTTTTAAAGTCTACTAATGCTTCACCACTACTACAATTGACAGTGATATAGTTTATATAAAAATCTAGCTGTTGAGAAAAATTCAATCTTGAGTTAAACTGGTATTCATATCTTGCTGAATCTGTACACTCCATCAGATGAGATAATTTCTCTTCATTTGCGCTAATAAAATTTTCTTATTTGGTATATAGCATCTTTTACATAAAAACACGGTGAAACATTCTTTTTCTGTTCATCTAAGTTCACATTTTACAATATTTTATCTTGAATTTTGCTTTAGTCCAAATGGGCCAGATTTGTTCAACATGTTATGAATCATCGAAACAACTTTCTGAGTAAATATAATGATTTCATTTCATAAATGCTAGTGGATGTGTCTATCTTGAAGGACTTTTTTTTCCTTTGCAATGGAAGTAGAAGCGAAGAAGTAGATTGTCCATCGCTTAATCTTTGTGACAAAGCATTGAATTGAAATAGCCGACTGAAGTAACAGTTACTAGCATTGGTCCATCCAGTTTGTTTGAATAGAATTGGAAATACCCAAATTATAAATCAAATTTATCTAAGTGCGATAACTTTGTCACCTGACCACAAATATTGTTAATTCTTGATAGCAATAAATTTTCAAATGATGAACTACTTGTTTTAATTGACGATAGTTTATACCGAAGTTTATAGTATATATGTGTGAGAGTTCCTTTAATAATACACGTTGCTAGTCTAAGATGAGACAAATACCGTGGAAAAGATTTTTTTATATGCTGCATACAACACTGTTAAGATGTTATTTATAATGGGGCATGAAAAATAATGCTATAACTGATGTTTTTTCAATCAATACAAATAATATAGATTGCTTGTACATACTAAAGAACTTTTTGAATGTTCTTATGTCCTCTAACATTGAAGAAATATCTTTCAATATTAAGTTCGTTTGGTATATGCTTATAGTATGTTGAGTGTTTGCGCCATCTAGTATTTTTCTCGAAAGCATCTGAAATATCAAATCATTCGAAGTGAAATTCGAAAAAAAAGTAAGATAGTACCGACTAAAAACAACTGTTCAAGTTTTATACAATTAAAGATGTCTTGATTGGCTTGATGTATACGAATAGAAATAAACGAGAAAAAAATTAGTATTTCAGAAAGAAGATGCATTCGATGAGTTCTTGCATATAATAAGCTAATATAAATGTAATCACTTCTCTTCTTTTTTTTTGTACATGTATTCTATGTTAATTTTACTTGGAACAATTCCTTTCTAAAAAAGACGATTTCGTCCATAAAAGCTAGTAGCTTTAAAGTATGGTATCTTCTCGAATCTAATCAAGTCTTCGTAACGTTGATGTAGTCGGAAAACATCGCCAAAAATAGTAGTCACCTGATATTCTTGCGTACGTGTTATGTTGAATGTAACCATTACTATTCCAGATTGATTGTTCGTAGTATTTTTGACAAATGTCCGTCTACATCGTATGCACTTGATCATTCCGTTGTAGAGCGGGGCGGAGCGGGATAATTAGCCATGGCGGTGACGAGAACATTTTCAAATGCTCGAACTTCCAATTCGGCAAGACGAATGGGATCAAGGAAACAAGCGTTTGGAATTCGGATCAATTCAGCATCTTGTAACATGAGAATACGAGCAGATTCAAGATGTTCTCGATCGTAACAAATCATAACTTGAACATGAAGAGAAGCATTCATAACTGTAGTTAGAGTCGCTACATAGAATTTGTCTCCAGGATAGGTGAGTGCCTCAAGTGTAGTTCAATCACATGTGTGTACTTTTGAGTAATGTAAAAGTTCTCGACCGAATCAACCAATAAGTGTTAAGGAATTTGTTGGTGGTAACGTTCCGTTTGCATGCTTTTTTAGATATGTTTACTCCGATAGCCATATTCAATTCAAGTGCTAGAGCTCGAAAATGTGCAATGTATGGAAAAGATCGATCGACGGCTAATTCGAGTCAGTCTCGAACTGGCTGCTTATTTGATGCATTATAACTAGGAAATGGAGCTGAATAACCACTATTCCACATTTCAGGCATTAGAGCAATATCAGCATTTAGTGATGCTGCCTGACGGCAATATCTATCAGCAATAAGAATATTCTCTTTTGTATCGTTATCGGATAACATTTGTAAGAGTGCGACGGTAACATTGTTAACTGAACTACTGGCAATAAAATATACATTGAATACATAAACTACTACAATCAGTAACAACATATTGTCTGATACGTTTGTAATTCGTTCTGCCTCATAAAAACAACCTAAGTCAGTAATAAGAGTGATAACTTAAAGCAAATATTCAGGGATAACTCAATTTATTTTATTGACAAGGCAATATGTTCTGAAAGAATAGTTATATGCTGATATTCATATAACTTTTTTCAAATTCTTTTATAATCATTACAACTATGTATCGTAAATACTATTGACGTTCGAAACAACTTCCACTAGATTAAAATTACTCAAATTTATATATTTAATCACCTAAAGAAGATTTTATCTAGGTTGAATAGATTAAAAGTTTAAGCAAAAAAATTACATTTTAGTCCTATCATCAGTCCATCTTATTTATAAGCAATCAAAACTCACAAATATATATATAAAACTACAACAATAAATAAAAAAATACAAAACAAATAACATATATATTTTTAAAAACGAAATACTGCTAATCCTTGTTGATCTTTAATAACAAATCGTTGTTCTCCTTGTAAAATACAAATGTTGTATCCTTCGTGTTTGATTTGTTGTCTGATACGTGCTTGTTTATCAATTAATGACAATGTTTCTTGTTCTGATGTATTATTCATAACTAACCACCAACAAGATCGATAAGATGTTAATAAACAACACCAATAATCTGAATAGGCTGCATGTCCTAAAATTTCACCTTTGAATAATCGTTGCATATGAAAATTAAATATATCAACACGCCATTCATATGTAGTTAGATTTCGAACGGTCATTGCTATATGATAACCATTTGTTCGAATACAGCGAGCTATTTCAGCTATTGATGGAGAATTAGTTGGTAAAATTTGTGAACGAGTATATGTTTGAATTGTACGAAATGATGGTAATGAACGATGTTCAATTAGAGGTGATTCACCCATAACATAACAAACAAACAGACTTGTTCTAAAAAATAAAAATAAAAAATACAAACGATAATTTTAAGTGGCAAGGTTAAAGATAATTAAATATGTTTTACGAATTTTTTTTAAAGCAAAATAATATTCTCAATAAAATATTTTAGAATTTAGATTTTTAAAAATTTACTTATGCGTAGTAATTGACCATATTTGTGGATTTTCAGATGTAAAAATTTGCTTAACATCATTATTGATTACATCAAATGTGTGAAGAGCAGCACCAGAAATAAGAAAAATATTTAAATAATCACACCATACAATATCATTAATTGTTATAAATGGTGGTTCAACATCTACACGTTTAATCATACCTTGTTCGGCATCAAAAATAGTTAGTGTACTTGGTTTAATCCATGTAATAAATATTTCAGTAGAATTACCCATTCGATAAGAAGAAACACCTAAAGCTGATGTATCTGTTGATAACATATTAAATCGATAAAGTAAATTGATACGATTTAAATTAGGAATATTTTCTAATGAATTTGAAGATTGTTGAGATGAAGATGTCAATGAAATCATCTTCGGCGAAGGAAAATGACCACGAGAAATATTAATATTACCACCTAATGAACATGAATCAAAATTAATACGAAGAATATCACGATATGTTAATAAATTTGTGATTTGACTTTGAATATTAATTAATCGAGTATGAACTTGATGTACTTCATCTGGATGAATTTGTTTTGGTGCTGAAATAAAAAAAAAAAAATCAATTACTTTTTTCATTCTCTGACATTATTTATTGAAAATGAAATAAAAAGTATTATTTGTTAAATTTAAAAACAAAACCTTTAGAATAATACCATTTAATAATTGATCGATAGGTTCAATAATAAAATTATGTAAAATTTGTAAATATTCTTCTTTAGCTATAATCCATTGATCATTTAATCGATTTTTTGCTTGTTCAATATGTATTTTAACTTGTTCAGTATATTGATCGATAAAATTATGCATTTTTTGTTTCCATTCATTTAATGAATTCAATACTTCTTCTATAATTATTTCTACAGGTTTATATTCATTTAATGTTTTTTCTAAACCTTTTGCTTGATTATGTAAAAAAAATACTTCATTTTGAATTTGTTTTTCATGTTGTTTTTTATGTTCAAAACAAAGATTATATGAACAATGAGGACACATTAAATATTGACGTGCATTACAAGGAACAATTTCAGATGGATTTTGACAATAATCTATAACGTCATTAACAATAGAAAAAAGTTCATTTGATGATTCCATTTAAAATGATTAAACAATAATGAGGTTCATGTCGAATTAAAAGTTTTCATTTTTCTATTCTTTATCTTTCATAGTGTATAGATATATATATGTTATCGAGGCAAATAAAATGTGTTCGAAAGAGAAAGAACAAGTTTATTTTAGCGATCTCTCAACAAAAAAAATACGCTTACGACGAAGTAAATATGGCTTATATCTATACATAAGTTAGATAAAGTTAGTTTGTTTTCTTTTCTTCATATTCAGAGCTGATCCGATTGGTAAAATAGGAAAATGACATTTTTCCTTCTCCCCTTCTTCAAATAGTTGATAACTTGTTGCTGTTAATCAGTTAACAGGTCGCAAAATAAATATGCAGCGAAATTCTAACGAATGAATGAACAGATAACGATGAAGAAAAGATACATTTTATCCTACAATAAATAGAAAACGAAATGAACTTGTGATATATTTTCTTCTTTTTGTTATTTTCCAGAGAAGAACTTAACGAGACGAACAGGTTAGACACAATAGTAACACACTTATCCCTTTGCTTTTTATTTTATATAATTTTTGTCACTTTTCTATGAAATTCAGTATTTTTATTGCATGTGCATTTGGATCTTCATTCTTCTTTACATAATCATGTTCTTCTAATAGTTCGAACATTTTCATTGGTTAATGTTTTTGTTTTGTTTTGTACGAATAATTTTTATAGTAAAAATGAAATTAATAAAGAATTTGTTGAGAACATCATGAAAAAATGAAAAATTAGAATGTTTGTGTTTATATTTAGTCGAACATTATTCATCAATAAAATTCTATTTATTAAAACTTGTTAAGAATCGTATTGGTTTTTGTCTTTCTCTCAACTTTTATTCCTATGTCGCCCTTCATAGAATGAAAAATAAATCAAACACAATTCATCTCACTAATCTCAATTCTCTATTTTCTTCATACTTTTCAGGCTCTTATGGAAGATCAAAGAATAAAAAACAATACAAATAAATGAGGAAATTTCTAGTTGCAATTTGGAAAACATATTGAACTCTATTTGTTCTTTGCAATTTCTAGAGTCTTTTAAAAATGTGCAACTTTACAAGAGAATTGATTAAAAAATTTCGTTTTTACCTCTGAAACATGTCGGTCCATCTAAGAGGGATACATTATATATATTGAATGACTTTGAAATCTAAAAATTTAGAAGATAAAAGTATATGCATAAAATATTATTAAAAAACTTGTATTTATTCTCGAAAGACATTCGATAGGGAATAAAATCAACCGTTACATAATGAAACAAAACAAAAAAAGGGAACACAAAATAAAATCCAATAAACTGTTCTCAATCCGAATTCACTAATTTTATGAATATAAGTTATTACAATCTTTGCTCTCTTAAACGTATCACTATTTATATCCGCATAATTTCTTTCAATATTGTATAGAGATAAAGATGAAAATTCTTATAATATACATATATATATATATATATATATTATTCTTAACAAAACTAATTCTTCATCATAGAGCATCAACTCATTTCTGATAGAAATGATTTACTCTTAATTTTGACGATTTTTCAATTTAGGAATAGAATTTAATTTAATTTAATTTAATAAAAATTTTCTTCGAAAATTTGTCAGTTAATCTATAAAGAAAATTGTTTAATTTCTTGAACATTTTCATTTATATATGTTACAGAGGAAATAAAATTCAAGTAAATTTAAAATTTTGTTAAACAACATTAAATATACTTTTATTTCCAATCGACAAGGATTTTCCATTACGATGAAATTCATAATATTAACTTTTAAAACTACAAAATCTTACAAAAAAAAAAGAAGATAAGCGACTTAGAATAGAAACAAAATGATAAGGATTTAAAATCTGTAAAACTTTTAAAAATATTTGCCTATATATTTTATTCTGTTTTGAGTAACATTTTGTAGAACATTTGTTAATATGTTTTTATTTTAAATGAATTTATTTAAAGTTTCTATCCTTGTTTATATTTTTGTAAAATAAATGTATTTCCATATTTATTGTAAACTGTACGTCTATTATTATCATGATGAATAAATCTTGTTTAATCAACTACGTAGTATTTCGATGATCTTTTGTTTCCAATATGTGTTTTCTGATATAATAATTGTTAATCTATTTATAACGAGCAAAGTCGACAGATATTTTATCACAATTAGATCTACTTCCAGTATTAAGAACATTGAATGTTAATATTTTATTAAATTATTCAATATTTAATAAAATTTTCATGTTAAATTTAGATAATTTGATAATTCTAACTAACAGGATACTTTTTTCTATTGTTGATTCCATATTTAATTTTGTTTCTTTTTTTTCGATTCATACGCTCATTAGTTGATAATAGGAATGTTCGATTATCTCGTTGCTTGATTTTTTTCATTAATTATTGAATTTTATTACAAAAATTATTTTCATTTTTTCATAATTTATTAATTTGAGATTGTTCTTGTTCAATATGATAGAAAATTATTTTTTTCATTTCAACGATATTTTGTTTCAATTAGATTAGTAACTCTAGATCGTCGTATCTGTTGATAGAAACATTAATCATAATGATTTTCCAGTGAATAATGTTCTTCTTTAGATCTAAATAAAATATCTGAAATTGAATGGAAGACATTCATGTAATCATATGTTTTAGTTATTGACCTATTTTCAAAAATAAATTAATATAATCTATCATAATTTTGTTATATTAACTACAATAGTTGTTAAAATGGTTCTTTAAAAATTTAATATTCAAGATCTTTCATAACTAACAATCTATCGACATAATTATAAAAAAATCCTTTTCATTAATTAATTTGTTTGAAATTAGTCAATGTCTACAAAAAAAAAAGTTTATTTATATAGAGAAATCATTTGTTAAATGTGATCATGTAAATTTCTTTATTGTAATTTTCTCAATTGAATGAATAATTAGAATAAAGTTAACTCTTTTTCTAAAAAAATTTTATTAAATATTATACTTTTAGTATTTATCTATTTATTTAGATAAAAATTTATTCAAATTTAATTCAACTTAATATAAAAGAAGTTTTTTTTAATAGAAAAATTTAACTTGATTAATATCAATTTATGAATTTAATTAAATTAATATTTGAAATATTATGTTGACTAAAGTGATACTTTATCTTAATAAACAATTCTATTTAAGATAAAAATATCTTCTAAATAACTAATAAACATTATTTTATATGTACACTTTTATTAAATATTGTTCTATTCAATATATTAACATTCACTTTTTCCAATCGTTATCAATCATATATGAATAATTACGTTAAGAAAAATAAATTCTTTCAGGATTTTTTTACGTAAATCTATTATCAGGAGCATTGTCTTCATCTGTATAATTAATATTAATCCAATTGAAATCACCAAGATCATTAGAAGTCAATGAAGTTTTTTTTTTTTTTTAATAATGGCTTGAAGCTTATTAAAAATATTCAATAATCACTAAATAAAAAATAAAATAAATGCGGAAACTTCGGATTTAAATCCGAGAGTTATGTGTACTTCAAAAAGTGAATCATACAAATCAATCATCCTAGACTGTCTGAATATCAAAAT